CCCAGGTAGACTGCTGGATTCAGATCCTGGCCACAGAGAAAATCACAGGATGTGTGGTCTGACCTTGGAGTGCATGTATCAAGACTGGGCCTCCTCAGTTGCTGATGCCTGTGCAGTGGACAACATGCCCAGATGCACACAGGGGACATGATGGCCAGCTCATCTAGTCAGAAGGGGACATGAACTGCCTCATTAGAGAATGGAAAGCAGAACAAGTTAGACAATTCTCCTGGTCAAGCTTTGCAGCATGTTCCTGGGTCTGTGGATGCACTAAGGTGGACTCTGTCAACCAACAGACCTTGGAAAGATTTTTCTCAACCCTGGAGCAATGAAACCAACAACTTTCCAGAATTATCAAAACCATTCAAATAACATCCTTGGAAAACTCAATCTCTAAGATGACATCAAATGATGATTGTCCATCCCCAGGTGCTGATGCAGTTTGGCAGCAAGGAGTGGCCTCCTCCCTTCCTCCTCCCCCAACTCCCCCAGATACAGGAGAAAAAGAAAAAAAAAGCTGGAAATATTTGTCCCACCCTCCTTCCTCCATACTTCAACCCTCCCCATCCTAATCAGTGGCGTACATATCCTTCTCAGCTATGTGAACAACATTAAAAATAAAATAAACAATTTTTTTAAATAAATAAAATAAAAAGAAGTGGTGGTAAATCAGTCAAGAGAGGCCTGGGCTTAAATTTGGCCCACAAAGACATTAGTGGTACCACTGGAATATGGCTATAGTGTGCCAAAAGGATATTGATGGTAAAATAACAGAGGTACAGAGATAAGGTTAAGATTAAGGTCACTCAAGGTTAGAATGGAACACAAAGAGCATTGATTGCAAAACAGTGAACAGAAGCCCAAGTTCAAGTTCAAGAACATATCATAGTTACTGGTAGAATAATATACTGATTTGATCAGCACTGCATTGATTGGGTAGTAATTAACAAGAGCCCCAGTTTCAAACATAGACCAGTGAGGCTCTTGATGGTAAAATAATTAAGGAAATGCACAGTCAGACAGAGTGCATGAAACACTTAATGGAGGCATGGATTTGAGGCAAGACTAGACTGGCACTGATGATGGGGGTGGTTACCAGAGCTCTAGATCTGATTTCAAAGCAAAGGCACAGTGACAGGTGATGGACAAGTTAAGAGAGGCTCAAGTTTAACTGACAACATTATTTTGTTTATTTTTTATTTACTCAGTATTTATTTATTCTTAGGTTGTAAGTCAAGAAAGGTGTCACCAAAATGAATTTAAAATAGAATATCACTCTGCCACCTCAATATTTTCACAAGAAAACCCCCAAAATCATGCACAATATTCATGCTCAATCATCTTTAATCAGGCTCAATAAAGAACATGAAGAGTGTGGAGAAAAGAAAGTGTTGAGAAAAATGAGCCCCTGCCCTCCCCACCCCCTGACACACAGCAAGTTATCTTGCCATCTGTACATCAGGCTTAAAATTCAGTGTCCATTCTGTGTTGCATACTGTTAGGATTTGAATGTGTCCTCAAAACGTGATCCCTATTGTAACAGTATAAAGACGTGGAGCCTTTAAGAGGTAATTAGGTTGCGGGCTTTACCTCATGAATGGACTAATGCCATTATCAGGGGAGTGGGTTCTTGCTAAAAAGATGAGTCCCCCCTCTTCCTGCATGCTTGCTTCTTCTATGTTCTCTTGTTGTATGATGCAACCATGTTATGCAACTATACATGTTATGATACAAGAAGACCCCTGCCAGGTGCTAGCCTCCAGAACTATGATCCAAATAAACCTCTTCTGTTGAAGAGTTAACATGGAAGAGCTGGATTGCTATCTGTGGGAAGGCTTGCATCAGGTTGACTCTTGGCTGGTGATTGGGAACTTAGACTTCAGGAAGGTTTCCATCATGTCCAAATAAGAAGACTACTCATTATGGCTAAGCTGTACAAACAATGTGACTCATGACAAATGTCACCTTTCTTTTCTGGTAGTCTGGAACCTGGGTACATGCCAGGCTCAGGGTGTCGACATGAACAATCCCCCTTAAACAAAACAAACAAACAAACAAAACCTGCGCACTGAGCCTCTAGTTGACAATATTTCACATGTGTTGTTGCAACCCATTATGGTCCCTTGAAACTTCAGCCTGAAAACAAACAAACAAAAAAACATGCCTGCTCTCCCCTGACCTTGGTCCTGTACATGATCTCCCTTTGCTAATTTTATTCTATCATCTTTCTGGTGTAGTAAGTCATAACCATAAACACAACCACACTTTAAGTCTTAGGAGTCCTAGTCGCTCAGCGCAGGGCTGGGCTAGGAGCCTCTAACATGCATGCATACATGAGTGTGAGATCACATGAAGACTCCAGCTCATGGATATCCCTAACTCATCACCATTTACTCTAGATCTGTCAGATGGAAGAACAAGTTCTAGAAACACTTTTGGCTGCAAGTAACCACTCTCCCAAATAACAGTGGATTAGACAGATTATTTTCTTTCCTTAGCAAAACTGCAGGTGTTAGTTCAATAGCTTAATAATGTTAGGCCAGACTGGGGTCTCTAGGGAATGACCTTGGACGGTCACAGGTATTAGTTAGCCATAATACCAATTGCTGTACATGCTGCAGCACATGCAGCTGGAGGGAAGCAAGCAGCTGCAGTGAGAGTCTCTGGCATTCTAGTAACTTAGGCCACTGACAAGGGACTTCAGTTACTTATCCCTATCAACACCCAAATGTCCTCTCTTCACTAGGGTCTTTCTTCAGGTATGAGGGTACTTTTTTAAAAAGTTCATAAAAATGTAATTAAAAGATAAGTTTGGGAATGACACTAAAGCACAGCATGTTAAGCTGCTGCTTGCAACACCAGCCCCAGCATCCTGTATCGCAGCACTGGCTCAAGTTATAGATGCTCCAATTCTAATCCAGTTCCCTGCTAATTTGGCCTGGCAAGGCAGTGGAAGATGGCCCAAGTGCATGGGGACCTTGCCACTCATCTGGAAGACTAGTATGGGGTTCCAGGCGGCTGGCTTTGGCCTGGCCTAGACCAGGCTATTGTAGCCATTTGGGAAGTGAACCAGTAGATAGATCTGTCTTTTCCTCTCCCTCTTTCTCTGTCTTTCAAAGATATATTTTAAAGGGAAGTTTATTTTGGTGCAAAAATATTTTGAAATCTTTTAATTAAAGAATTTGTGCATGGCGCAATAACTAAACTGGCTAACCCCCAATTCCTTTAAATACCAAGATCCCATATGGGCACCAGTTCATATCCCAGCCGTTCCACCTCCCATCCAGCTCCCTGCTTGTAGTCTGGGAAAGCAGCAGAGGATGGCCCAAAGCCTTGGGACCCTGCACCCATGTGCGAGACCTGTAAGAGGTCCCTGGCTTTAGCAGATGGAAGATCTTTCTGTCCCTCCTTCTCTCTATAAATCTGGCTTTCCAATAAAAAGAAATAAATCTTTCTAAAAAAAAGTTTGCTGGAAATGCTCATATGAAAGAACTATGCATGAATTTGAGAATATCTCTGCAACAAAATAAACTTACTCTGTAAATCCATTTTCCCTGAACTTTTTTGAAGTCCCCTCATACTGAACACCACTTTTTGATCAGAGTTGCTCCAAGGCTGGCCTTTGGGCCTTGGGTGGCCATGGGAGGTGATGAGGCTGGTCTCAGGGTTTTTCTGCGCACGGAGAGTTTCCCCATCATCTGAATCCCATAGAGGGATTCCCCAGTTCACCTGTGCGATAAACCAACATGCTTGTCCCTGCACTGATATGGGGTTCCAAAAACTCAATGCCTCTGCTCCCTGCTCGTGGGCGGACAGCTGTGGGGCCTTGGCTTGAGCTGTCAAGCATGCAGGGAATTTGGGAGCCTCAGCCAGCCCATCCTGAGAACCAGCAGGATCCTGCAGCCCAATGATGAAAGCCTTGGAGTAGAACTGAGTGTGCCCCCACCCCTACACCCCCAGTCCTCTCCTTGCCACCACCTCCCGGCAGGCTCCATCGTGCCTCTCCCTGTGGTCTCCTCACTGGCCCCTGCTACCACCCGGGACTGCTGTGCCCTGTCTTCACAGCAGCCAGAGGGAGCCTGCTGGAACCAGATCCCATCCCATCCCATCTCTGCTCAAAGCTGCTTAGTGAAGTCTCCTCTACTCAAGAAACTGAAAGCCAAAGTGTTGGTGGTGGCCCTCGAAGCCCTGCGGCATCTGGCCCATCTAACCTCACCATCACACTCTGGCTTCCACGACCACACTGTGGACACTCTCCAGCCCCACTGACTCAGCCCCTCTGTCTAGAATGTTCTTCCTCACACACTGTGGCTGCCTCTCACTTCATTCAGGTCTTTGTTTAAATGTCAGCCTGTCAGGACAGGTTTCCCTGAGGTCATCACCCACTACCCATACTACTGTTGCCAGCCTGTCTCCTCAGTCCACCTTGTGCTGACACCACTCACCTTTAGCTGACCTGCTCCATTCGGCTTCTCCTGTCCCCTGGAGAGGCTGTGTCCTGATGGACCCACAGGGAGCTGACAATAGCGTAAAGCTCCATTTAATCCCCACCACCCGCTGGCTTGATTGCACCAAGCTCATGCACACTGAGAACACTTGAGGAGCCCACAGATGGGCAGAATCCTCTACCGTGGCCTATTTGAATATAATATAAAAGTGCTGAGTAGCTCAGGCATGTGTCGAATACTGTATTGAAACTGAGGAACAGAATGGCTGCATGGGTGCACTTTCATACCATCATAAAGTAAAAAAAAAAAAATGCTGATGTTACTGTAATTCTGTCTGCTGTTGTCTCCACGGGGCTGCAGATCCCACCACATCGCCACTACCCAGAAGGCTTCCTGGCACACCGTTTCGGTGTTCGGCAGTGCTTGCAGAACACACAGCTGTGGAGAAGCTCTGGGACACAGTGGACATTTGCTAAGTGCTTGTTGAATGGATGAATGGACACATCACCGTGGGAAGACATGAATCAGACGATGGACCCCATTCCCCTTGGCTCCTGGAGCTGTGGGCTCTGCAGTGCTGCCTCCCGGGACACCCGGGAGCTGGTCCTCACCACCACCACAGACACTTTATTCACAACACAAAGCTGGTGGCGGGGACAGGAGCAGGGCCGAGCACAACCCTACTTCTGCTCCCGCCTCCAGACGATGACCATGCCCCTGGCATCACTGGAGGCCAGCAGGCTCTCGTCGCAGTTGAAGCTGACGTCAAGCACGGGCGCGCTGTGGCCCTGAAGCTTGTTGACGGCAGCCTTGGCCGCCCGTTCCACGTCAAAGAAGTGCACGCACATGTCCTCACTGCCCGTCACTGTCCGGGTGAGAAGGAGAGGCTGTCAGGAAGCACTGGAGTTCCCTGGGGCCGGGGGTGGGGTAGTCCCTGAGGCAGCTGAGGTGCCAAGCCCCAGCATGGCTTCTCTAGGCCCAGGGTATGTGAGGTCTCCGAGCTGAGCTCTCACACTGCTCCCTGTGAGGTTTATGAGTCCCCAGCAGGAGGCTGTCTTTGAAGCCCAGGTGGAAAAGGGCATCATCAAGGTTGCTACCAGTCCTGGTCCCTGCTTGTCCCCCGCTGCCCAGCACCACCCACTCTCTGTCCTGCATACTCACCCACACAGGCTCCCTGACGAAAGGACATGAGTGGGCAGAAGATACTGCGCACAGGGTGGGAACTCTGCTCAATGGGGAAGCTCCTCTTCAGCTGTAGGGTCCCCTCGTTGTCCACCACCCTGCAGGATGACAGACAGAGTGGCGGTCAGGGCTCGTGGCCTCAGCCCCAGAAGCGGGCCCAGTATTGAGCATGCCTGTATCCCCACCGGAGTGCTTGAGTTCTCTGCCTTGCTCATCAAATGCAGTGTGTGGAGATGAGGGCTTAAACCTCTATGTGTGGGTACCTGGATGAGTGTATGCAGGTTCTGAGACACCCATGGGAGCCTCTGCAGAGTGGGGCTGATCTGCAGGGTGAATGAAAGAGCTGAACACAGCACAGTTGTGTTCACTGTAACAAGGCCCTGGTGCTATGGTTCCAGGCAGCTGGGCCAAGGCTTCCCTCCCTCCACAGCATGACAAAGGCTGGAAGGCAGAATCCCCTGTGGTGGGAGGGAAGAATGGGGCATGGCGGGGATTGTGGGGAGGAGTGGGCAAGGACCAAGGACTCAAATTTTATTAGATTGCTTTTCTTTTTTTTTTCTTCACCATACCTCCCCTTCCCCATCCACATACGGGCCAAGCACAAGGCCATTGAGCTGATGTGTATGTGCGGGAGGTCTCCCTCTCCTTAGATACAAGACCGCAGCCTGTGGGAAGCAAGCATGCTTAAATTGACAAAGCAGACAGATGGATGGTTACATTTGGAAAAGGAGAACCAAAGGAACAAGGTATAGTGAGCTGTAACCTTCTGGGCAGTGGTTTTTCAAGCCAGGCAGGAACTTTCCACCCCAGAATTTCAAAATTGCTGGCCCTCAGTAGGGCCAGCACATGGGTTTGTGAAATTGTTCCATGTCATTCCACTGTGTGGCTCGACCTGAGGCCTTCATGTGGTAAGAAGCAGGTGTGAGTCCTGAAAGTAAGCCACACCTCCTCCCGCAAAGAAAACCAAAACAGGGAGAACAAAGGAGGGGCGGGAAAGGGAGTAGAAGGGAAAGAGGAAGAGAGAAAAGAAGGGAGGGAAGGAGAAAAGAACGAGGGAGAAGGGAAGGAAAAAAGGAAGGTTGGATGGAAGGGATGGAGGGAGGAAGGAAATAAATGAAGGAAGGAAACTGGGTCTGAGCCTCAAGGGGATTATTGGCTAATCTATGCCTGTTTGCTTAATTATATAAGGGAGCTGGTAGCAATATGTACAATTGGTTGTTATAAGGATGCAATAAGGTGATATGAGAAAGTGCTTAAAAAGGGCCTGGTGTGTTGGCTCAGTAGGTAAATCCTCGCCCTGCATACACAGGGATCCCATATGGGTGTTGGTCCGTGTCCTGGCTGCTCCACTTCCCATCCAGCTCCCTGCTTGTGGCCAAGGAAATCAGTCGAGGATGGCCCAAAGCCCTAGAACCCTGCACCTGTGTGGGAGACCTGGCAGAAGCTCTTGGCTCCTGACTTCGGATCAGCTCAGCTCCAGCCACTGTGGCCACCTGGAGTGAACTAGCGGACAGAAGCTCTTTCTGTATCTCCTTCTCTCTGTAACTCTGCCTTTCCAATAAAAATAAATAAATCTTTATTTAAAAAAGGGGGGGAGGGCCTGGCCATAGCATAGCAACTGCTGTACAGGTGCTTGCTACTGCTAGGACTACTGCTACTAATGACACGTAATCCTCATTGTCATGTGAAGAGGGGACTGGGCATATAGCCTCGGCGAAATGCCTGTGCTGCAGGAGGCAGGCTCTTGTCCTAGTCTGATGGAGGAGGTGGGCCTCTACCACATGGTGGCTGACAGGGACACACCTGTAGAGCAGCAGCTTGTTGAGGCAAGTGTTGATGAGCAACGAGGGGTCACGGGCCTCACGGCTGACCCAGGAGCGGGCGGAGATGCTGGTCACGGGGCTGCCCTCATGCACCACCAGTCGCTTGGCCTTGGTCAGCTTCCCTGAAAGGGAAGAGAAGAAAAGGCAAAGGGAAGGGCCACCGCTGTGCTCTGAGAGCGTGGGCAGGGGCGAGCAGCAAAGTGTGTCAAGGCGCAGGCCTGTTGTCCGCCTACCTGTGGCCATGTCGAAGAGGAAAGAGAAGACGCTGCCACGGTCATCACCCGCCCAGAGCAGCCGGCCAGGGGCATCAAAGGACAGAGCGAGGACGCGGCCTGTCAGCTTGCTGGAGCCACCCTTCACTTTCTTGCCCGTGGAGATGTTCACAACATGCACATTGTGCTTGGCATTCCCCACCTGTGGATGGAACACAACAGCCCATCATCCTGCTCCCAGCCAGTCCCTCCCTGAGTCTGATCATAGTGGTGCTCTGGCAGGTGGCACTGGTAGCTCTCTACTAGAATTTAATCACAGTGGGCATGTGGCACGTAGACCAGAAGGTGACTGAGGCATTCATTTCTCCCTAGCCAGCCCCTCTGGGGACAGTGGCTTATGTCACAAAGGGGCCTCGGAGCCATCATGCTGCCTCTTGGTTGGTGGCCTTACAGTTGGAAAAGAATGGAAAAGCCCTTCCATTCAAGTGTTGCCCAGCCCATGGCCCTGTGAGCAGCAGCTTGCCTGTAGTTGGTCCCCCTATGCATCAGCACGCCCGCCTCAAGAAAGGCGAGCACACCCTGCATTTTCCTCCCCAGCTCTCCGAGCCGTCTGTCCTGCAACTGGACCACAATGGGACTTGGGGCTGGTGCACTAGATGATGTGCCAGCCTTTGCACCATGCTCCCCAGGATAAGCCCCTGCTTGGCCAACACTATAGGACTACAGCCAGAGGGGCCAAAGGGGTCCCTGCCCCCCTCCCTGGAGTCTCCCAAGGCAAGGTCATCCCAAACCAACACTTGATCTCCCCATCCCCACACCATCTTGGCCTGTTTCCCTCCCCTCTGCCCACAGCGGGCTGGACCTGCGTGGCAGGAATGGGTGTGTGTGTGGGGGAAGCTTTCTAGATTCCCCAGGCCATCCCCCCTTAGTCTCCGCTGCCCTGGGGTGAACGGGCGCCCTAGAGCCTGACCACAGTGAGGTTGTTGTTGACGGGCTGGAAGGTGCAGCAGAGCAGTTCAGCGCCATCGGGGTCAGGGATTTCCCGGATGCAGCGACCATCCTCAGAGGCCCAGATGCGCATGGTGGCATCGAGTGAGGTGGACACAAGGATGTCATTGGAGAGGGACCAGGCAAAGTCGGAGACCCCGCGGGTATGGCCCCGCAGCACACGGAGCACGGTGGGTGGGGCGGGTACCAGCTGGCACAGGGAGATGCTGCCGTCCAGTGAGCAGCAGGCCAGTCGGTGTCGGTCGTCGTTGGCGAAGCGCACCCTTGGGACTGCAATGTCAAGGAGCAGTTGTGGCAGTCAGCACACTCACTGGATACTTTGCATCTCTAACATGCTCTGTGGCTGTGCAGGGGGCGGGGCTGTGCTCTCCCTGCACAAGCACAGTAGCCTCAGCAAGATACCTTCCTTGGTTGGCACAGGGAACTGCTGCCCCACAGGGTCCTCTCCCGAAAGCTCCCTCCAACCTCAGCAGGTACTTCGCAGATTGCAAAAGCCACGTGCCACGTGTGCAAGTCCCTCTGTCTTCACAAGCCCCTGACAATCACCAGGGCCTCGACAGCCTGCAAAGACCCATGCTTCTCCGGATCCCCTTCTGCCCTCCTCTGAGGGGGCACTGCTCATCAGCACAGCTTTGAACTCTTCCCAGCGCTTCAGGAACCCCGTCAGCCTGTGGCCACAGTGCTCTGTGCACTCCTCGGGCCCTTTATGGTGCACAACCAAGCACTCGGGCCCTGGAGGCCACTTCCGCAGAGGGCTGCAAAAAGGCTCTACAGATGCTACTGCCTGCCTCGGAGGGGCGCCAGGGGCTTGCATTCTGGAAAAGAATGCATTGAGTGGTGGTCACGGTTTGGGTAGCTGCACAGTAATGCCCTGCCCGCCCTCCCCAGCTTACCTGCCTCATCCACGTGCTGGTCAAAAACATGGTACATGCCAGCAAAGGCGTAGTTCTCACTCAGTGACGTGTCCCCAGCCATGGCCCGACTGGCTTCTGCTGCTGATGTGGGTACCACACTGCCAGGGGGCCTGGGCCCCAGGAGGAAGTGGACAGTGACAGGAAGGAAGTACGTTAGGCCTACCACTCTTTCAGGGTCCCTGTCTTCTCCACAACACCCTCCCCACTCAACACCCCCCTCCCCGGCTCGTCCCGCCAGCCTGGCCCTCAGCTGCCTCCGGGGCCTACCTGTCCTCATAGGTAGCACGGTTCATCTGTGCCTGTAACTGGTAGGAGCCACGACTGACGGAGCGGCGGTGCCCGCGGGCTCCCAGGGCCCGGGGGTCATCCTCAAAGTCCTGCAAAGGGATAGGTCAAGGATGGGCTCATCTCCAACACCTGAGTTCTGGAGCTTTCCAAATAGCTACAACCTGGTCCCTTCTTACCCACATGCCCTATCACCTCCCCTGCCTTCCTGTGGTGCCTCTCTTACCACTTTCCCTGCTGGGCAGATCAATATTCTGAACACAGAAAGAACATGTTCTCCTGGGAAAGCCACTGGCCTCTGTTGTACCTCACTCAAGTTTCAACTGTCACCTCCTCTAGGCCATCGTCCCTCCTCATCCCACTGAAAACAGCTTCCCTCTACTTCTTGCACTGCTTCTTTTTCATCTCCCAAGTCCACGTTAGTTTTCTAGCTTAACACATGTCACTATGAGCCATTGTAGCTTATGTGGCTTTTAACACTTATTCACCCACTTCTCTTATTTACTGTTTACCATGTTTGCTGTATACTGACTTTTGGGAGGTATTCTGTCTCAATCCTCTACTGGCGCTGAGGGGCTGGGACAGTGCCTTGTGCACATCGTCCACGGACTGGGGGCCAGCACTGTGGTATAATGAGTTAAGCTCTCAGTGATGACACTAGGAACCCATACGAAGCACTGGTTTGAGTCCCAGCTGCTGCACTTCTGATCTAGTCCCTGCTATTGCACTTGGGAAAGCCCCAGAAGACGGCCCGGTGCTTGGGCCTCTGCCGCAGACTGTGAGAAACTGGGATGGAGTTCTAGGCTCCAGGCTTCATTCAGCCTGGCCCAGCCCTAGCTCTTGCGGCCATTTGGAAAGTAAACTAATGGACGGAAGACTTCTGTCTCTATCCCTCTTTCTGCCCATCAAATGAACAGACTAAATCTTTAAAAAGTCCATGGGTGGGATGGGACCTATGTGGGACACGTGGCTAGCAACGTGTTTAACGAGCTCACCTCCATGCGGTCAAGGGTAGTGCGGCTGCTGCGGATGATGCTGTTGCTGTAAGCACGGGCACTGCCTGGCTCAGAGAGGGGTCCGTAGCGCTGGCCTAACAGCTGTCCCCTCAGCCTCAGGTACTGCCTACGCAGGGCTGGGGGATGCCCAGCTTTGGCATTCTCCCGGAGCAGCTGGCTGCGCCGGCGGATATACTGGGTCCGAAACTGTGGGAACGTTGGTGTGCGGTATGCGTTGTACCTGTGAGGTCAGGTGGCAGGGTGGACCGCAGGCACAGACCACAGGGACTTGATCAGTTCAAGGGACAAGGTAGAACAAAAGTGTGACTGGGGTCAGGGTGTTCATGTTTATGGTACAAGGTCAATCTCTGCTGGAGTCAGGACAGGGTGACTGAATCAGTATACACCAGCAAGTTAAACTGCCATGGCAATGGAGAGTGGGTTGTTAGTGTCAGGTGGTGATGACGTGAGCATGAGTAGTACCAATAGTAACACTGGCAGGGCAATGACGTCCCAGCTGCATCCTCCCCGCCCAGAGGCTTAGTTGCTTTGCCCATACCCACATCAGATTGCACTTTCCCAGCATGCTGTGGGAACCCTCTCCAGCTACCTTCTGAGCATGCCCCCATACCCTGCCACAGGGCAAGCTTCCATCGAGCAAGCCCACACAGCCACTTCTCACTTATCACTATTTCACATGCACTAGAATAAGTTCTCCCAGCTTCCCACTTATCACTATTCCGCATGCACCAGAGTAAATGCCACTCCCAGGTGCTCCGACCCTGCGCCTCACCTCGCATCCACTGCTAATACTTGCTGCCACACCGCGGCCATTCCCCGGTCTCCTCCTCTGGCGTGTCAGCCCGCGGAAGCCTGCAGGAGAAATGCCTGGAATGTCAGCGTCCCAGGCGAAGAGCTCTAGTTCTGCCCGTTCCGCCAAATGACAGTTGCCATAGAAACGGAGTCCCGTGAAGCTGGCATGTCACGAAATCCCACCCGACTGTTACCATGGTCATCACCCCTGAACTACCCTGCCTAGACAGAGCCCGAGGTGGCTCACAGCCCCGATTCAGACCTGACCCCGCCCCTCCGGGTCGCCATAGCAACGCCCCCTTCCCCCACCCAGCAATTTTTGTTTGACAGTCCCCGCTCTTCTGACCCCCCGCCGCCCTCCGCCTTCCCTTCTCGGGTCCAAGAGAATAGCCCAGGATCGAGGACCACCTCCGGGGCTGCCTCCGGCTCTTGAGGCCCCCCGGGGCGGCCTGGAGACCACTGTCACCCGTTTCTTCGGTCTCGCTTCTTCCTCTGTCAGGCTCCAGACAAGATGGCTGCCTGCTACCAGAAAGAGCTGCCGAGTGCAGAGTGCATCGATAGGAGCCCTTCGCCGGGCGTGGGAGTCCCGCACGCGCACTGAGGGACAGTAGCGCCGGCCCCGGGACTGAGACTCCACCCCTCGGGCGGACCCTCTCCTGAATGACAGTTTTTACCTGGGTGAGCCAGTTCATTACTCATTACAAATCAGAAATACGACTTTCAGAAACAGAGACAAACAAAAACAGACTTTTGAAAGAATAATGCAAGAGTAGGCTCTTAGTCAAGCAAGACTAAATAATAGAATAAAATATCACCGTGGACGCCGAAACCCTTGGAAAGCTCTTCAGTTCCGGAGTGACTGACTGGCGGGCCTCCGGACACTCCCAGGATAAGTGTCGGTTGTGTGGGTGTAACCGGGAGTGGTTGGGTTCCCATGCCCCCACGGGGCTGGAGGCTTGTCTCTATAGGCGCAGAAATACTAACTCAGGACAGGCTTTGCGGTTTGGATCCAAGTAGGCTGTTCGAAGCTTAGTTTCACCTTGAACAGGAAGCTGTCGCTCAAACTGTTCACCTTAACATCGCCAGCACACAAAATTGAAAAGATTGGGACACAAAGTTGAATGGCTTGTAACTGGACGACATTTTCTGACAAAAATTTTAAAGCTTAGTTTTGTTTTGCTTAGGTCGGCTTGGCTTATGAGCAAACTGTTTCCTCCTTTTTTTAGTTGTTGTTATTATTACTATTATTATTATTATTATTATTAGAAGGGAGGCAGATTTACAGTGAATGACAGGTCTTCTGTTGGTTCACTCCTGAAATGGCCACAATTAGTGCAATTGAGCCTATCTGAAGCCAGGATCCAGGAGCTCTTCCAGGTCTCCCACGTGGGTGCAGGGTCCCAAGGCTTTGAGCCATCCTGGAACTGCTTTCCCAGGCCACAAGCAGGGAGGTGGATGGGAAGTGGCACAGTTGAGACTCAAATATGGGCTGCTCGTGGCTGCCAGGAGGAGACTAACCATGTTCAACCACCATGCCAGCCCCAAAACTTAGTTTGTATGCTATGTTTATTTTATTAGTAGTAGTATTTTTAATTTGAAAGAGAAAAAGGGAGGAAGGGAGAGAGAGATCATTTGCTAACTCACTTCCCAAACTCTCACATCAGCTGGGGCAGTTAAGGTAAAGCCAGGCAATGGGGAACTCAATCAGTGTCTCCCACGTGGGGGGGGGCAGAAGTACAAGAACTTGAGCCATCACTGCTGCCTCCCAGGATGCACATTAACAGGAAGCCGGAATTGGAAGCACAGCCTGGTCCTCAACGCAGGCACTCTAATATGGGATGCATGCGCTCCAAGTAGCTATCTTAATCTTAAGCACTACACCAAATGACTGCGTCTTTTGCACTGTTTGCATAAGACAATGAACTAAGGTGTTAATGAAATGAGGAGATATATCCAAAATGTTATTATCCTTTTTTGTGTGTTTCAACAAAAATATACACCTTGTGGCAGAATAACTTTACGTCCCCCTTGAGCATGTAATTGTCATCATCTTTTCTTTTTTTAAGATTTATTTATTTATTGGAAAGTCGGATATACAGAGAGGGGGAAAGACAGAGAGGAAGATCTTCCGTCTGATGATTCACTCCCCAAGTGAGCGCAACGGCTGGTGCTGTGCTGATCTGAAGCCGGGAACCAGGAACTTCTTCCGGGTATTCCACATGGATGCAGGGTCCCAAAGCTTTGGGCCGTCCTCGACTGCTTTCCCAGGCCACAAGCAGGGAGCTGGATGGGAAGTGGAGCTGCCGGGATTAGAACCTGTGCCCATATGGGATCCCGGGCGTTCAAGGCGAGGACTTTAGCTGCTAGGCCACGCCGCTGGGCCCATCATCTTTTCATATTAAGTACCCTGCTGTAATATGTTTGCTAGAGAGTGAAATGTGTAATCTCAGCAAGAACCACTAAATGTTGATTGGATAATACACGGCGCACTAGACAAAGTGATTTATATGTATTAATCTATCTAATTTTTACTGGGAAGGCAGATTTACAGATATAGAAGGAGAGACAGAGATTTTCCACATTCTGGCTCACTCTTCAAAAGGCAGCAATGGCTGGATCTGGATAGGTCCTAACCAAGACTCCAGGAGCTTCTTCCAGGTCTCCTACATGGGTTCAGGACCCCAAGGACTTGGGCCATCGTCTGCGGCTTTCCCAGGCACATTAGCAGGGAGCTGGGTCAGAGTGGAGCAGCCAGAACTAGAGATGCCTCCCTCACGGTTGGAGGCACAGTGCCAGCTCCAATTCATCTAATTTTAATAATGGAATGTTGTGGGGCCTACTGTTTTCCTCATTTTACAGGTGAGGAAATCTGAAGACCAGGAAATGACACTTAATTGGTCCCATGTTTGTGATCAGCACTGAATTTATTTCCATGATTGTTTATTAATTTTGCTTAGATAAAACACATGATGCATACCATTTCTATCCATTTCTCCCCTCCCTGGACGTAGTCCTGTCCCATTCATTCCATCCCCTGCTTCCAGAGAAGCATGATGGGAGGAACTCGCAGAAAAGATGCCCCAGAGGACCAGCATGATGACTCAGTTACTAATTCTCTGTCTGCATGTGCTGGGATCCCATACTTCCCGCTCCCTGCCTGTGGCCTGGGAAAGCAGTGGAGGACGGCCCAAAGCCTTGGGACCCTGCACCCACGTGGGAGACCTGGAAGGACTGCTGGCTCCTAGCTTTGCATTAGCTCAGCTGTAGTCGTTGCAACCATTTTGGGAGTGAACCAGTGGATGCAAGATTTTCTCTCTCTCCTCTCTGTAAATCTCCCTTTCCAATGAAAAATAAATCCTAACAAAAAGGGGGGGAGGGGCTCCTAGATGCATTATTGTCTCACTATTGACATGAAATCTCTTATTGCATTGTTATTTTTATGATTTTCATATGTTATTTAAATTTTAATTTAGTTTTTGGAAGGCAGAGAGAGAAATCTCTCATCTACTGGTTTACTCTTCAAATGCCCACAATAGCCAGGATCAGACCAGGCTGACGCCAGGTTCTCAGAACTCAATTTAGGTCTCCTATATGGTTGGCCAGGACTCAGGTACTTGAACCATCATCTGCTTCCCTTCAGTGTGTGTGTGTGTGTAACATTTATTTGAAAGGCAAGGTTACAGAAAGAGAGAGGGTGGGGGACACACACACACACACACACACACACACACACACACACACACACTGAGAAAGCTTCCATCTGATGGCTCACTCTCAAAATGGCCACCATGGCTAAGGACTAGAAGTTTCTTATGGCTCACTATGTGGGTATAGGTACCCAAGGACTTGGATCATCTTTCACTACTTCCCAGGCACATTAGTGGAAAGCTGGATTGAAAGTGGAGCAGCTAAGACTCAAACAAGGGATTATTAAAAAAATTATTTATTTTTATTGGAAAATAGAGAGGAGAGACAGAGAGGAAGGTCTTTCATGCGCTGGTTCACTCTCCAAGTGGCCGCAAAGGCTGGTGCCCAGCCAATCAAAGCCAGGAGCCTCTTTCGGGTCTCCCACATGGATGCAGGGTCCCAAGGCTTTGGGCCATCCTTGACTGCTTTCCCAGGCCACAGGCAGGGAGCTGGATGGGAAGCGGGGCTGCCAGGATTAGAACCAATGTTCATATGAGATCCCCGCTAGTTCAAGGTGAGGACTTTAGCTGCTACGCTGTTGCGCCGGGCCCCCAAGCAGAATCTTTTTTTTTTTTTCTTAATGCTCCATACTTGTGGAAATAATTCGAGGACAGCCCAAAGCTTTGGGACCCTGCACCTGTGTGGGAGATCCAGAAGAAGCTCCTAGCTTCTGGCTTCAGATCAGCACAATTCCTGCCACTACAGCCGCTTGGAGATTGAATCATCAGCCAGAAGATCTTCCTCCCTGTCTCTCCTCCTCTTTGTAAATCTGACTTTCAATAAAACTAAAATAGATCTTTAAAAAAATCTCATCCTACAAGGCCATGTTATATAAAACAATATAATGAAAGGGTTAAATATAAATTAGTTTTTTTTAAAGATTAATTTTTTATTTGAAAAGTAGAGTTACAGACAGAAGGAGAGACAGAGAAAGCTTTTCCATCTTTTGGTTTTCCCAAACATCTGCTTCACTCCGCAACAGCTAAGGATGAGCTGCTCTGAGACTGGGAGTCAAGAGATTCCTCCAGGTTTCCCACCTGGGTGCAGGGTCCCAACGATTTGGGCCATCCTCTGTTGCTTTGTAGGCCATAGGCAGGGAGCTGGATTGGAAATGGAATGGCCAGGACTTGAACTGGCACCTATATATAGGAAGCTGGCGCTGCAGACAGAGGCTTAGCCTAGCACACCACAGCACCAGCCCCTGTAAGTTAGTTATTAATACACATACAGTGTTTGCTACATTTGTAGTGTGAAGGTTACTGTGTTTTGGAGAGGCGATATAATCCATTTCAGATACAGTATAACTTGGCCGGTGCTGCAAGCTATGCCAACTCTGAGTTATATGGCTTTGTGTAAATAGTGTAACCTCTCTGTGACTCAGTCTTGTCATGCGAAAGAAAGCTGTCTTGGTGGGTGGGTATGAAGACTGAATGAGCTAGTACCTGTGCAACTTAGTCTCGTGTCTGGAACAAAGTCAATGTCCATTCAGTGCTGCCTGCTACTTGTTGTTTTAGAAACTTTACACAGTCAAGATTTCCCTCCCAGAGGTCAACCTACTGCAGAAGTGATTGATACAAACGAGAATTATTCCAGCTGCCACTTGGATGTTCATATTTTGAATTTTTCTTTCTTTTTTTTTAAAACTTAATCTGCTTACTCTAATTCCATTAAAATAAGCGCTAACCGACAGCAGAAAGTACTTGTAGTTGGGAGCTTTGGAGACAAAGAGCAGATGTAGCTGCTAAATGGCAGTGTTATGCAACCCAAATCTAACACTTGTCACAAAGAATGCAATAACTGCAGCTGGCATTTTGGTACGGTCAGAGTGCTGGTTCAAGTCCTGGCT